AGTTGGTTGGTTTGTTGTTTAACGCCGCACTCACCAATATTCCAGCTATATGACAGCGGTCTGTACATAAGTGAATCTGGACCAGACAATGCAGTGATGGACATCATGAGCATCGATCTACACAACTGAGATACGATGACATGCATCAAACCAAGTCAGTGAGTCTGACCACCCGATCCCATTAGTCGCCTCTTACGACAAGTATAGTCACCTTTTACGGCAAGCATGGGTTGCTGAAGACCTATTCTACCCCGCATCTTCACGGGTCTACAATGTTAGTATTTTGACCATATCGTGTACATCGACTTTCAATATTAGTTCCATTGTTATCCCCCACCACAAAGTGGAAGGGCAATATAGGAATGGGTGCTGTCAGTCTATCCTTCCGTTTGTCCATCCGTCCGTCATGTTTCGTTTCCGGAGCAGAATTCAAAAACCATGAGAGATATCTTAACCAAACTTGGCACATAGATAGGTCAAGTAGTGAACTGGTGCCTTTTGATAATTTAGAATTTTTGAAAAATGTCTCTTTTGAGTTTCCATGGCTATGACTTTGACTTTGGAGCAGGTCTTGAAAACTGTAGAATATTTCTTCACCAAACTTGGCACACAGATAAGTCCAGTTGTAAACTGGTGCCTTTTGATAGTTTGGGATTTGTGAATTTCTTTTTTGATTTTCCATGGCAACAACTCTGACTTAGACTGAAAATGGCGGTAGTTCTCGTTTCCGGAGAGCTAATGTCTTGCACATAACTGGCGGGGGATGTGAGTATTAAATGCTTGTTCTTCGTTTGTTATTGTTTTTGTTTCCATGTCATGCAGCAAATTTTGCAATCTGTCTCAAATATAGGATGCTCTTTGCAAAAAATCTTTGGGCTTTGTCTAGTGTCTACTAGAGCGTCTGCCCAGAGAGCAGAAGGTCCGGGTTCAATCCCCAGGCACGCCATGTCAAAAGACATCAAAAGATGGTACTTGTTGTTACCCTGCCTGGCGCTCTGCCTTAAGGGGCTAAAACAAGGACTGGTCAATCAGAGTCAGTATACTGTGTGTGAGCGGGATATCCATGTTAAACAGCGGCATGGTATCTCATTGGGAGAGCACTATAGCATTACTCCAGATTAATACAAACAGCTATATGCATGTCGCTATATAAGTGCCATAAACTACAACAGCAATGTTAAACCCCATTTCAGTTGCCCTAAAACCAGCTTCATCCAATCACTGTTGCTGAAACTAATCGCGTTTCTAAACTGTTTCTCTCCATCTCCGTGACAATCATTTCCACCTTCTACAATCTTCTTGTGTATGCCAGATTTATCTACATACATATCCCAGTTCAGTGATAACAGATTCGGATGGAGGTTACAAACAAGAGCAGTATTGACCACGCTCGGTGTATATAGGATGAGTGATTGACGAGACACCTCTCTTGTGTGAGTAGCCGGCTCCCATTGTTCCTGGGCGATAACAGTGATATCATCACACAAGGATGCGATACCAGATGATACAGACAGCCCAAGTGACGAGGACATCTGGCAGCTTATCCATAGAGATAGGCATTGGGCTTGAAAAAGTGGCTTCAGAGAGTTGTCTCCCTTTGACCAGGCTTTGTAAAAGGGTCACATCTTGGTATTCCAGATATCCTTGTGGAAGTTTTAAGTGCTTTCCTCACAGTTGCGGAATTCAGGATCCTCGTAAATTCTGGTATTTTTTTCCGGAAATTGTTAATGGCATATTCGAGTTCCACCTCCAGCCCATATTTAATGTCTTGCTTCTCTGTTGAAATTAAATGTTGATTAATTATTAGTTGTATTTTTGAAAAATATGTTAATGGTGTTTTTTCATTTCTTATTTCATCAGTGTAACAAAGCATATTTTGTTTCATTTGTAAATTTGTAATTTCTTAATATTCGTATGCTGTGTCAATTATCATGTTATCATTTGCACTTTATCACAAGTAGTTTTTAGTATTTCATTTTTTGTTTGTTTGTTGTTGTTTATCGCTGCACTCAGCAATATTCCAGCTAAATGACTGTGTTCTGTCAATATTTGATCTGGACCAGACAATCCAGACTACATTTAAACAAATTTAAAATTGCTACTATACACAAATGAGTGTATACAGTGTTATTTTGAAGTTTATATTGTGCTGTTTTCTCTTTATTTGAGTGACACAAGCACCTGATAAATAGATAGAGTGTTTTTATTTTGTCAGTTATAAATCTCCATATTAGCGGGGGCCCCAGTATGATAATGCGCACAACATTGGCAGTGAGGAATATTTTCTCCTAATTTGCATGATGAGATAAACATGGCATTTGACTAGAAAAGAACTTTATCGTACACTTTGGCCTGTTCATCATTTGTGAGTTGATGATATCTCTGTTCTGTTGTCTGTCTATCGGTATCAGCTGTTAATTCAAAGTGATGTAATTACGGCATAAAAGAGCAGCGTCAAATATTCTCAAACATTCAATTTGTGACAAGTTATAAAATCATCATGAAAAAGAAGCAAATATTCATGAAATAATTTAATATGCGTCTTCAAAATTGCGGCCATACTGAAACCCTTAAAGATGATGGCCTTTTCAGATAATGATTACCCTTGCTTAAGATAATTATCAGCGTTCTCAACCAGCCCCCAATGTGCTCAGAGCCCTCCACATCAAGTAGGCCTTACAGCTGGGCTCTGCTAAAGTCATAAACGATCACTGACTCTGCCCATTAATTCTTAAATCTTTTTAAATTTGTTATTTCTACAAAGCCATTCAAGTGAACAGACTAACTGGAGATTCTTTGAAGATTATTCTTAAAGGTCCTAGAATCTTCCTGAGATAATAATTTCTTGTGCTGTCTTGTGCTAGCTCTGCTCCCCTCTTATAAATGATTTTCCTCCCCATATATTCTGCCCCTCTCATCCCCTCCATATCCATCTGTTAGTTCTGGATGATTTAATCCAGGCAAAACAGCCTGTAAGAACATTGGGCCTCGTAATACTTGTTTTCTTCCAAACATCTGAATCCATTTAATGACGAGTTTTCTGAGATGTTGGTTAGGGTAGGGCAGTAAATGAAATTTTTTTCTTTTCATTGCCGCATACCGCCAACAGTGGGGTCGGTCGACTGGTTTTGTTTCTTATTGTTTGGGAGGAAACATGATTTTATGAATTATTTGTGTTGCCATCTCATGGTCTGTCTTTGAAAGAATTAGAACTAAGAGCTAAGTGTACTGTTTGTTTAAGTTGTGTATGATCAATTATTTGGATGAGGATTATTATATTCTTTTAACACCAAAATTGTCTTAAGATGTCGAGTCATGATGATGAATGATTATAGTATTGGATTCATGGCTGGTCTCCGAGGAAACTTCTTAGTGAAGATTATTGCACTTATTAAGCGACGTGCATGTACGTGTGTGTGTTTGTGTGGCTGCTTGTACTAGTCCGGACTGATGCTGATTTATAGTGCTAGCTCACTGAGATACCATGCCGCAGTTTAACAGGAATACCCCACTCAGACACAGTATACTGACTCCGATCGGACCAGTCCTTGTTTTAGCCCCTTTATGCCGAGCACCAGACAGGGTAACAACAAGTACCATCTTTTAACGTCTTTTGGTATGTCGCGGTCGGGGATCGAACCCCGGACCTTCCACTAGACCATGGAGGCGGTCAAATAGTGAAGACATTTCTTGATTTCGAGATTGCGACAGGGATTCATGCTTCATACTGGTCGCAAGTGTAGCGGCCATAAAATTTCCGAGTCCCGTGATGGGATTCGAACCACGGACCTTCTGATCAGAAGTCGGACGCCTTGTCGACATGACCGAAGAGGTTAACCCCGTCAGCAAGCTGACAAGGTAAGGATGTCATCTGTAGGATGACTCCATGCCCTGCTACATACTCCCCTGTCAACAGAAGGCACGTCCCGGGCCGCATAGTAGGGTACTGAGGCTTATTTTGCTCAAATTTAATATGAACGTGCTCAGCCCCACGTTGGGCGCCAATGTAGCGGCCATAAAATTTCCGAGTCCCGTGATGGGATTCGAACCACGGACCTTCTGATCCGAGGTCGGACGCCTTGTCCACATGACCAAAGATGTTAACCCCGTCAGCAAGCTGACAAGGTAAGGATGTCATCTGTGGGATGACTCCACGCCCTGCTACACAAGCATTTACCTTTAGTTTACTTGTAGAGGTATCTTTTTAGGAGATTTTAGCATAGAAACTTTAATCACTATTCTTTGTGATGATATTTATTAAAAAATTAAGATAATGACTTTTCTAACCCTGGGATTATAAACTGGAATTGGATCTTGTTGTTGACGTTATTGTTGTTATTTACAAATGAAAGCTCATCTTGTCTTTATTGTAATCGTCATTGTAATCATCATCTTCTTTTTCTTTTTAAGATTTTTTTTAACATTAAAAAATTCACAATCCCAGCAGGTACATCTTTTAAAAAAAAGAGTGAGTGAGTGAGTTGGGTTTAACGCTGCTATTTTTTCAAGTTACATCATGGAGTGTCGGCTTAATGTGGGAGGAAAGCCTAAAGTGATGCAGGTCTCAGACATTTACCACTCCGGTGAAACCACGAGCACGAATGGTGCTGACAAATTTCAAAAAAAGAAGAAAAGCTTCTTCCCTTTTTAACGAAGTGAACAATTGTAGGAATCGTGTGAGTGGAATACTTCCCATGTTGGTTGTTGTGATGCTGGTTGGAGCCCCCCATTATCCAAGCATGTTGCTGTTGCGATATTCCACCCCCAACCCATCATTCCTGGAGATGTGTACACAGTCCCCCTCAAAGCTCAAGTGTGGGAAAAGTTCCTCGGCTCCCCAGGGGTCGTGGGTATCGTCCCAGGGGTCAGCAATATCAGCCCGGGGGTGGAGCCATATATGTGTGAGGCAGTCGGCTCAGATGGAGTAATAATTTTAACAGGAGTTAACAATTTAATTAGACCCATACCGAACTAATTACTGGCTTCTTGTGGAGGGAGTGTTTCAGCGGTACACTCTCCACTTGTAGAGTATATCTCCAAGATTGCGATGAGGCATGGCTCAACATGGCTTTTATCTCTGACTGAGTAAGCGATGTTTTCATGTTGATTTCGTTAATTAAGTGTATTTGAATATGTCTATCTTTGATGTACCTTGCTGTACTTTTCACTAATAGTGTGGGCAGACTTTGTAATTACAATTTATGCGTCATAATTAGAGTTTGATGAAGTGGAATAATCATTTGGTGAGAGAGCTTGTTGATGAAATTTGATATGTGGAATTGAGACTTATTAGTGAGTTGTCTTGAGGATGTCAGGTACAGTTTTTTATGTCCTTAGTTTTCTGTTCTGTTTCAGTCTGTTTAATAAAGTATTCAATTATCTTCTTTTCTTTGAGAACATTATAAAAATATCTAAGACAACTCGGTAAAGTCAGGTCAATTATGTTTCCTGTTTCTCATACTATTTAGGTCAGCTAGTGTGATAAATGGGTGTATAAGTACGACTGTCAGACGGGAACAGAGAACGAGATGTAATATGAGGTTATTACATTAGGACAAGCAATAAGATAGGGTATTTAAATTGGATTTGATCTAATATTTTTACATTGAAATAAAGATGTAATTTTGCAAAATTATTACATTGAAATAGATTTAATGTAAAATTATTACTTAGAAATAGATTTGATGTAAAATTATTACAAAGACAGATTTGATGTAAAATTATTATATTAAAATAGATTTGATGTAAAATAATTACAAAGAAATAGATTTGATGTAAAATCATTACAAAGACAGATTTGATGTAAAATTATTATATTGAAATAGATTTGATGTAAAATTATTACAAAGAAATAGATTTGATGTAAAATTATGACAAAGACAGATTTGATGTACAATTATTATATTGAAATAGATTTGATGTAAAATTAATACACAGACAGATTTGAAGTAAAATTATTATATTGAAATAGATTTGTTGGAAAATTGTCACAAAGGCAGAGATTCAGTGTAAAGTTATTTTAATAGAAATGGAGCCAAATTGAAATTATATGATAATTTGAGATATAATTTTGAAATTGCCTGTTGATAATAGCTTACACGTGCTTGTTATCTGGTCCTTGGGGTGTTGGTATATATGATGATATGGTAACAATAAGTCAAGTCTGTGGTACAGTTGGGAGTTCTACACTTTGGTGATGGCGGAAACAGACAGGTGCTGCCATATTCATGTCGGTTCCCCAAACCACTCAATTACTCTTCCAAGTAGTCAATATTATTTATCATTGATGGCCATGCTATCGCCACATGGAGGAGTTGGCTGGAGGCTGAGGGGAGGGGAGGTGTGGTAGGGAGGAGTGGAGGGGAGGCATGCGTGGGGAGGCGTGTGTGGGGTGGTGAGATGGATTAGCAGGTCGTGAGTTAACACCTGGCAGTAACAACTAAGGAGGGAGGGAGGGGAAGTTGTGGGTGGCCTTGTATTCAGATGGGTGGTGGGGGGGTGGGTGGTTGTGTGTGTCTTTGTACACAGAGAGGGCGTTACCTGAGGGGTTGGGGATGGTTGTGGGTGGCCTGGTACACAGATGGGGGTTGGGGGTGGGTGGTGGTGGTGGTTGTGTGTGTCCTCGTACACAGAGAGGGTGTGACCTGGAGGGGTGGGGGATGGTTGTGGGTGGTCAGGTGCACAGTGGGGTGGAGGGTGGGGGTGGTGGTTGTATGTGTCTTTGTACACAGAGAGGGTGTTACCTGGAGGGGTTGGGGTGGTGGTTGTGTGTGTCCTCGTACATAGAGAGGGTGTTACCTGAGGGGTTGGGGATGGTTGTGGGTGGCCAGGTGCACAGTGGGGTGGAGGGTGGGGTGGTGGTTGTATGTGTCTTTGTACACAGAGAGGGTGTTACCTGGAGGGGTTGGGGTGGTGGTTGTGTGTGTCCTCGTACATAGAGAGGGTGTTACCTGAGGGGTTGGGGATGGTTGTGGGTGGCCAGGTGCACAGTGGGGTGGAGGGTGGGGTGGTGGTTGTATGTGTCTTTGTACACAGAGAGGGTGTTACCTGGAGGGGTTGGGGATGGTTGTGGGTGGCCAGGTGCACAGAGGGGGGTGGGGTGCTCCAGGCGCTCCAGTTTGCTTGCAGAGTTGCGTCCCTTGGGCACGCCAGAAACCTATGATTGTGGAATCCCAGATCGCACTGATTATGTTTCTAGGTTTGTCAGCACCATACCCATGCTCATGGGTTTCACTAAGTGATAAATGTCCAAGACCTGCATCACTTTGGGCTTTCCTCCCACATTAAGCTGACACGCCATGATTTAACTGGAATACTGTTAAAAGCAGCGTTAAACTCAACTCATTCACTCAAGCACATGCAAACCTGTGTAACTCTAAGTTGTAGTCAAAATGTTAGTAAGGAATGCTATGTCAGCTTTGAAACATGGTCTTGTCAACACCAGTACCAATGGACTGATCCATTCTCCCAGAGTTCATGTTTTTTTTCAGCCCATCCAAAAATGGTGTATGTAGATTTTTTTGGGGGGGGGTAACGTTTTTCACTTTTTGTTGTTGGTAATTTGCAGTATGTCAGTAAAAGCCTAATTTGGAATGACAATGATCTAAATAAAAACGATTTTCCATATTCATGAGAAACCTCTGCCAAAAGCAGAATCGATGGTACGATTCCGACTAGATCATGAGCATGTGTTTTTGAATCACAATCAAACAGTGAGTGAGTTAATATTTAATGTCACATCGGCAATATTTCAGCCATATCGTGACTATCAAATAGGTGAGCGTATCCTACCCCACCAGCGACACCCATTGCAAACACATGCAAAGGCAAGGCAATTGTTCACCTGAAAAAACACAGGAACAGGTAGAACTCAATATAGGGAACAGCATCAGACATTGTTTAAAGTGAACTGCTAGTGGCCTAAAAAAACAGACAATACCAGAATGATGATAAAAGATGTGGTGCAATTCAGGAAAAATGAGAAAAATGGTTTAGGGTCGGGTCTCCAGATCGGAGGGTTGTTCTGGAAACCGGAACCACAAGTTGCTTGTTGAATATTTCTGTTATGTTAACATTAAGACATGCTTCCCCCCCACCCACCAACCCCCCCACCCCCACCCCTACCCCTGTCACTCTCCGCAGATGTTGCTACAACGGTATACATACAAATATCATTACACAATGAGGAAGCCACGAACGTGACCTCTACTGAAAAAATGGCCCCAGAATGTAAAAAAACTAAAAATTCCCTCATCAAGACGGGTTTATTTCAATAGCGGTGAGGACATGCGTAAGAAACATCTAAAGCCATGCGTGACTTCCTGGGCTCCCGATTCTCTCTTAATTCATCTGTGGTCACGACACAGTGGTGTATTTATGGGGGAAAGGACAGGCATTTTATGCCTAGTGCAGGTTACAGAGCTTGCAAACAACGACCCTCTTTGTGTGGGGCCGATTTGGCGTTTATTAGTTATTTTGAATTGAAGTGTCATTCTGAAGACTTTTTGTCTTTTTTAAACAAAGATTATTTCTTTTATAGATGGTTTAAATTCTTTTCACTCTGGTCTGAGACTTTGTGTATTGCATTCTTGAATACATGATGTTGTATTTCAGAGGCAACTGAAGAGAAGTAAGTAAAACAAAGCCAGAAACAGCTACAGCTCTACTCGCCTTACTAGGGTGGTCCTTATATCTACTGATTATGGTTCCCTGTATGGTAGACTCACCAAAGTGTTAACCCTGGATGGTAGACTCACCAAAGTGTTAACCCTGGATGGTAGACTCACCAAAGGGGTAACCCTGGATGGTAGACTCACCAAAGGGGTAACCCTGGATGGTAGACTCACCAAAGGGGTAACCCTGGATGGTAGACTCACCAAAGGGGTAACCCTGGATGGTAGTAGACTCACCAAAGGGGTAACCCTGGATGGTAGACTCACCAAAGGGGTAACCCTGGATGGTAGTAGACTCACCAAAGGGGTAACCCTGGATGGTAGTAGACTCACCAAAGGGGTCACCCTGGATGGTAGACTCACCAAAGGGGTAACCCTGGATGGTAGTAGACTCACCAAAGGGGTAACACTGGATGGTAGACTCACCAAAGGGGTGACCCTAGATGGTAGACTCACCAAAGTGTTAACCCTGGATGGTAGACTCACCAAAGGGGTGACCCTGGATGGTAGACTCACCAAAGGGGTAACCCTGGATGGTAGACTCACCAAAGTGGTGACCTTGGATGGTAGACTCACCAAAGGGGTAACCCTGGATGGTAGTAGACTCACCAAAGTGTTAACCCTGTATGGTAGACTCACCAAAGGGGTCACCCTGGATGGTAGACTCACCAAAGGGGTAACCCTGGATGGTAGACTCACCAAAGGGGTAACCCTGGATGGTAGTAGACTCACCAAAGGGGTAACCCTGGATGGTAGACTCACCAAAGGGGTAACCCTGGATGGTAGACTCACCAAAGGGGCAACCCTGGATGGTAGTAGACTCACCAAAGGGGTAACCCTGGATGGTAGACTCACCAAAGGGGTAACCCTGGATGGTAGTAGACTCACCAAAGGGGTAACCCTGGATGGTAGTAGACTCACCAAAGGGGTCACCCTGGATGGTAGACTCACCAAAGGGGTAACCCTGGATGGTAGTAGACTCACCAAAGGGGTAACACTGGATGGTAGACTCACCAAAGGGGTGACCCTAGATGGTAGACTCACCAAAGTGTTAACCCTGGATGGTAGACTCACCAAAGGGGTGACCCTGGATGGTAGACTCACCAAAGGGGTAACCCTGGATGGTAGACTCACCAAAGTGGTGACCTTGGATGGTAGACTCACCAAAGGGGTAACCCTGGATGGTAGACTCACCAAAGGGGTGACCCTGGATGGTAGACTCACCAAAGGGGTAACCCTGGATGGTAGTAGACTCACCAAAGTGTTAACCCTGTATGGTAGACTCACCAAAGGGGTAACCCTGGATGGTAGTAGACTCACCAAAGGGTCAACCCTGGATGGTAGACTTACCAAAGGGGTGACCCTAGATGGTAGACTCACCAAAGGGGTGACCCTAGATGGTAGACTCACCAA